CAGTAGCATTATAACGTGATCTTCCTTATCACAAGTATAAGGGAGACAGCCAATAAGTCTCATTCGCTACTGACAGTCGCTTGTGGCGACAGCGGATTTTATATCCGCTTGAGCGGTGGAACCTTGGTGAGTTATGTTTCAAATTATGGGTTTTGAATTCGCCGTAACATTCGCCAGGGGGTAATGCGGTTTTCGGATACTGTGCAAATGTCTCGAGTTGCTTTAGGCCTCTGAAGACGACGAGAACGTCGAAACGTTAGGCCGTTAATTAATAAACTGTTCCACCTAACAACCTCGCACGGCACAAGAATATTATAATAATAAACAACGTAATTCTCAAATTTAAGCAGAACATCATTCTTACACATTTCGACGTCCCTCCCTATCTAACCCTTTCTAATGCAAGTTGTCTACCATACACCTTTAGTGCCACTCCGAATACCGAAATGAGAAACGGTTTTCGCGACATCGATAACTGATTGCGCGACTTGATCTTGACTAATCCTTGTTGCATTGCATGAAATGAATGTAACACCGAAAGTCTGCTGGTAGACGTAACTATGAGTTGATGAGAAATTACTGCTTCAATTGAAACCCGAAACCATTAGTGTTAAGTCAAATAAAAAATAAATTCCGTAAAAATGTGAAGTCCACATAATAGGGGTGACTACAGGAGTCCTTGAGTGTGTAGAGCTGAGTCCTGCCAAAAGAGTGTAGCTTCTCGTTGACGACTGAATCGATTCTGGATCGCGGCTCTCTGTCAAATGTGTAGGGAATCATAGCCATTTTCATGGTCATCTACACGTTGCAATATCTTGCTAATATTAGGATGGTCAATGTGGTCGTTTCTAAGAAGCAGTACGGTAGCTGCATGCGGTTGCGGTCAAGGCGCTCAGTTCCAAAAAGTCAATACAGTAGCTGCTTTCGGTTCGGAAGACACAACCACAAAGATAGGCTGTAATGGTCTATGGATGGGGTTGAGACAACTGATTAAGACCATAAAAAGCCAACACAGTTGAACGGCATGGTTTAACTCAATCCATCACATTTTACCACTTTTCGAATAACGATAGTTGGGATTCCTAGTAGCGATGGAAAACATGTGTAAGATAGCCCCACAATTCGGAGGTCTGTGCTGTTCGTATGAAATAATAAGGAACAACAATCTAACCGTGATAAAAAGTTACGGGCAGAACGCCCATTCTTGGGTAAAATCCGAACCTATACTGGCACATTAAAGATGCAGTGAGGGAGGCGAAGGCAAGCGGGGTTTCGACAGAATGAAGCAGTGGGGAATGGCTTTCGGAAATTGCAGTACGGGTTCGAATCCATCCGAGACGGCCAACCGTTTTGCTCGCTTGCCAATCCTCTACGAATTGACAAACCGTATTGCTCTGAAGAGTATCAGACAATACAAAGAACAAAAAAGTATCAAGAATAATACGAGGGATGAATTCGCTGCTTTGAGCTCTCATATAGGTCCTACGGATTTGCTGGGAGGGAGCTGCTGAAAATTTTGATTTCGAGTTGTCCTGCCAATGGGAAACCGTAGTGTTTAACAAAGAATAACACTTAGTTTTTTTTTCCGCAACAAACTAGAGCTATCCAGAGGCCAACAAAACTGCAAAACCCGATAGCACATTTCAAACTGTAAGGTTTATACTGATCATAACTTCCAATTTTAAGTGAGCAGCATGATAGGGAAGGGGTTGCAAATAACCATGTTTATTATACCGCACGCTAGGTGATATTCATTGATGCTAATCAAGAGAATCGGATTTCTTAAGCCGAAAAAGCAGTCGAGCGAAAAACACTGCATGCCCAGACGGAAATGGGCGTAGAGTACGGGAAAACATATAAAAGCTTCGACATTATGCCTTACAGCAAGCATGACCGGCGACGTGAAGCACTGGGAATCAGAGGCACTCTCTTTGAGGAGAGTCGCCTTCTTTGGCGTAGCCCTCTCCACCGTAGCCACACTCGTTTGTGTGATCTCGGTCCCAATGCTTTACAACTACATGCAGCACATGCAGTCGGTCATGCAAAACGAGGTCGACTTCTGCAAATCCCGGTCTGGAAGTATCTGGAGGGAAGTCACCCGCACTCAGGTAAACATTCAGCCCTTTTCAAGCTTTTTTTGACATGTCAACTGTTTTGAATTATTTGCGTTATTTCAGGTTCTGGCTGCACCCACCAGAAAAGCCCGTCAAGCTGGCGGCGGATGCTGCGGATGCGGCGTATCCCCAGCTGGACCTCCAGGTCCTCCTGGACAGGATGGAGAACCAGGAACAGATGGTGAACCTGGTCAGCCTGGTAGAGACGGACCCGACGCCCCACCGGCAACCCCAGCTCCAGATGTTGCTCCTTGCTTCAACTGCCCTGCTGGTCCTCCTGGTCCACCCGGAAACCCAGGAAGCAAAGGAGCACCAGGTAACCCTGGCCAAGATGGACAGCCCGGAAATGCAGGAAACCCCGGAGGACCAGGAATTGCTGGACCCCCTGGCCCACCAGGAAACAACGGACAACCCGGAAATCCTGGAGCTCCAGGAGCTCCAGGAACCCTCACTACAGTTCCAGGCACGCAAGGACCACCCGGACCACCTGGACCTGCGGGACCTCCTGGACCAGATGGTCAACCAGGAAGCGCTGGAAACCCAGGACAAGATGGTGGTCCAGGAGAACCTGGAGACAATGGACAGCCTGGTGCTCCTGGACAACCAGGAGGTGACGGCACTGATGGAGATGACGGAGAGACTGGAGCCCCAGGAGGTTGTGACCATTGCCCACCTCCTCGCACAGCCCCAGGATATTAACTGTTCCTTGCTCCATAGTATCTCAATTCAGTCATCACTAGATTTTGTCATAAAACCATTTGATGGAATGTTTATTACCGTTCAACAAGGGAACTTTTCATTACAGCAGTTATCGCTCCTTTTCACGATTTATCAGAATTTTGTATCGCGAAGAGAGATAAGGTTTGCCAAAATCTAATTTTCTCAATATTGCCTTCACTGAAAGCAGCGCTGCCTTCAAGCGCTTCACATCTCTGGGAATGCGCAGTGTTAGGGTAGGGAACAACTCAACCGCATAAGATCAGCGACATCTGCGCTGGGAGGGCAATCCCAATCCGCATGGCAAATGTGTTGGCTTGGCACTTTTCCGATACAGGTGCTGCATCGCCTTGAGCTAACCCTATGTCCCACCGTTTCAATTTCACGCGGAAAAAATCGGAGCACGTCTGTTCAACGACAGGAAACTTGTTTTTCATTTTGCTCCTCTGAACGTTTCAGCAACAGTTATCATAGAAACTTTTGACAGAAAAGTCATTCAATGCTTGGCGAGTATCACATTCAGGAAAGACCCATGTGATCGTTAAACCTAATCCTTCCGAGTACAAAAGACACTGACGCACATCTTTTGAATGTGGCAGGAACCCTATTTGTTCTGCGCCTGCTATCACTCAACACCTTCAAACCTACCCCACTCCACATAGGACACCAAAATGCCGAGGTCTTAGTGATAATGTATGAAAAGGGGTAACGTACCCAGCAACCCTTCCTTTCTCTGTCCCTCTATCAACCCTTATCAACTGTATTCGGTTTCTTTCCCAACCATTTTTAATCACGTCACACTCAGTCAGTCCTGAAATCTGGGCTCGTTGAGAGCTAAGTACCCCCTGTAAGCACGAAGAGTGTAACGAAGCTTCTGGCTTTTGCTCTGTAAGAGTTCTCTAAAAAATATCCATTAGCTATTATCACATTCCGATGCGTGTCGGTAGTGTTTTCCAGTGCTGTAGCTTTCCTCTCATGTAGCGCTTCGAATGGATGGAACAGGAATTATGAACCTTTCGTCAAGAACAAACCGGCGCACCCTATACCAGCAAACACGTCAAACACTTTTCTCGAGCTATTCTGCTATCCTACTGTATATAACGCGTTGAGTGTGTGTGTGTGTGTGCGAGGGCGTGTCCTTGGTGTGTGTATGTTTCTGTCTGTGTGTTTTACCAGAAATTTATAATTCCTGTTTCCGTGGACCAGAGGGATTCAAACTTTGTAGGGTACAGGCGATCAAGTGGGAACACTTATAGCGGGCGCCAGCACTGGACTCCACCCACAAGGGTCGTTTGTGAAAATTGCCAACTCTGACATGTGTTGCCAACGGCTGATCAAATGTGATAGGAGTACAGAGACGACAGGATTAGCGCGGTAGTTTATAGTAAATGACAGAAGTGGAGTAGAGAGATGGGGGCATAAAGTGCTTTGGTAGCGACAGTACCGACCGGTACAGGTGCTACTCTGTAGGGAATACATTCGCCGTCGCCGGTGATTAAGTTTTCCAGCCATGCGGAGGCGCAGAAAAGTCGACAAGCTCAGGTATCCATCTGTTCCCATTAGAACCACCCACCTAATATTTCCCGTACTCCGTATCTCTAGGTGTTTCCGAGGCTGTGGAGATGGGCAGTTACTGTGTCATTATGGCTCTAAAGAACATGTTCCAGCTCGCAGGTACTGCGCCTGGGTTTCTCTTCAACCAGCTTCAAGAGATGAGGTCGTCAGACACCTCAGTTGGGCTCCCAGATCGTCGTTTTTTGGTCTAGTCGAAGTCGTCACTTTCAAATTTGTGGTACCAGTTTCTTGTTGGGTTATGGGAAAAAGTGGAGGGTTTCATCCCTTCACATGCATATGTTCCTTGTCGCAAGATTAGAAATGATTTTTTTGTGAACGTATAGTGCAAAAGCAGTCTAAACTGCTTATGATGCGAAATGATATGACGGATATGGTGAGAGAGGCGTTTTGCCTGCACTTACACATGTTCCGCATTGAACGTTCTGAAGCAATCTCCAATGATTTCACAACATTGAAACGAAAATGTGCAAAGACTTTTCCGAAAACCTAATATTACGCTATTGAAGAGAGTTGTAAAAATTTGGCCATTGCTTCAGTGCAAACCTGACCCACTATCAAAACTTCATCACTCTCTTCAATGAACTCAAACTACTTTTTTTCCGAATGGAGTACGGTTTCGAGAAGGAGTTTCGATTTGTATGTACGCCTCTTCCATCGTAAGCACAGCTTCGCTAAGTTTGCGTATGCTCTGTACGTAGGTCCTTTCCACTCTTTCTATTTCTTCTGATATCCAGCCTTTCATCAAATCATTGAGGGATGGTTCAACGAATGAAATGAAGGGAAAACATCATTCTATTTGTTAAGCCATTCCTCAACTTTGCTCATTGTTCCCTGGCGACTGCGCTCTTCTCAAACCGAATTAAGAATTTTTGTCTGGCTCAACAAAGCTCCGCTCACCTCTACAGGTCCCGCTTCCCACGGGCAGAGCTCCTCTGAGCTCACATGTGCTCTGGTGGTCTAGTTCTATGCTTAACCCATCCCTTCTCAGATAATGTCGGATTTCGTGGCATACAAACGAACACACATGACTACATAATAACATGAGAGCGTTATGTATAGTAAGGATAACTGGGTGTGTGTGTGAGCTCTTCTCTGTTGGTGTGTGTAATTTGGTGTATGCATGATTTGCCATTTGCCGCTATGAATTTGTCGGTGTGTTTATGTTTCGGTATGTGTAAGTAATGTGAGCATAGGTGTCAGTGTGTTTGCGTGTGGTGTACGTATTGTTGCTGTGGATGTGTATGTGTTTCGCAGTGTAGGTTGGAGCGCAAATTCATAACTTCTGTTCATTTAGACCTGGACCCCAAATATGGGAGGGCGGTACAGGTAACAGGATTGGACCTTCGATGATAGGTTATAATAAACCACATCGGCATCGCACATCAAGGCATGCGTCAAACAATGAACGCGTCGAACAGAGATTTCTTTGAACTGAGCTTCACCCTCAGCACATTCAATAGGCTGTGGTGGGTTACGAGTTTAGGCGAAAATTTTAGGATTGCTCCTCCGTCTGATTTGTTAGCTTAGTCCTAACTTTTGCATATTTTCCCATTGTGTGGTCTTTTTAGAGTAGAATTATAACCAATTCAAAGAATTGCTCCTATTTCGTCAATTATCTATAACCACCTACGGATGTTCTTCACTGAAGGTTCCCCTCAATGAAGGAGCTCCGGCCAGCCACGAGGCTAATTAAGATATTCACAGGTAGCGGATAGGGAGTTAATCGCAGACCAAAAGTCGCCGGTACTTACTCGATATACCTCCTGTATCTCGCAGGTATATCCACGCATATGTGTCTGCCACACATCCTGCACATCGGCCCAGCCAGAAGCTTGCATTGGAATGACTGGGAAATATCCTACAGGCGAACCGGGTCCCCTCCTGAATCAATGCTCCTCGTTCACTTCGAGATAGCCTGGCCAGCTACCCGAAATTAACCCAGCCCCGATGTCAAAGCCTGGCTAGCTATACGTGGGCCCAAAACAGAAATGTTAATAGACTTGAAGAGAGCCCCCAATGCGGCAGCGTTGGGTAGGACCGCTCGGGAGAGGCCGCTAAAGTCTATGGGCCAAAACAGGTCGCCCAAAAGAAGGACGAAGATCTCTTATCTCAGCGCACGAACGCTTGCGTCGGAAGCGTGTATAAGATAAATTACTCATTTGTTTGTTGTGATGCATGCTATATACGCTACAGTAATATTAACTTGATCCTACCTTTATTTTTGCCTAAACGTCCTCTGGGACAATAGATGAATAAATCAACTGGAATGTAATCTGGTAATGTAAGCTAGGAATATCAGGCGAGTAGCGGAATCTTGCGATTAAGGAGATGTGGCTCATCACCAGCTATAACAGTCTTCGTGGCCTACACACCGACATCAAGCTACAGAGAACAGAAGTTGAAGCGTTCAATATGGAGCTAGAAAGGCTTTTTAGAGAGGAAAACAACTTTTTTCAGTCATCTTCAGTGCCTTCAACGCCGACGTCGGCCTCAAAAGAATGGCTGAAGAGTTAATATCGGGGCTTGCGGAACGAAGTTGAATGAGCAGGGTGAAGGAGTGTCCGAGTTTATCATTTCGACCCACACTATCCATGGTAACTCGCAATTCCACAAACCCTTTCATTTGCGAAGGACACGGGAGTCGCCTTAAGGACAGTTTCGTAATGAAATAAATCACACCATTCTCAACCGAAACATTTGCCTGACTGGCGCCGCTGTTGTTCCGAAGTTTTAACGGGATCAGACCAGACCATTGTCTCCTCCGCGCAAGATCCTGATTTCAGGGCGTGGAGAGGGAGAGCTGCGAAGTTTAGGAAACGAATCCCAAAAACTGTTGGTAACTGGGGTCCCTTCGCTTCCCTTGCGAGTTTGTGGGAAGATTGCGTTAGCGACAGCATCGGTGAAGAACCCAACCGGCTCGTCGATCCTCTTCAATATAGTGCCAGGAAGGCAGAGCCTTGAAGAAGCTAAGAATTCTTGAAGACTCTCGAGCTGAATCGCCAGCGTGGAGTCGCGCGAGCTGCACGCATTAACCAGCTAACGTCCGAACTTGCGAGGTTATGCAGAAAAGCGTCAAAGTAAAATTTGGGAGAAGAGCGGCAGTTATGGACAGAGCAGCGGGACTAGAAAGAACTCTCGCAAAGCGCAAGGTCTGCCAATCACTAGACCAAGATGACCTGGCTTCGCCGTCTTGATGTAACAGTAACTGCATCTCTCAAGGGGAACTGAAGAAGGTCATGTACGACTTCTACGCGGTTCTCTTTGACAGCTACGTCCACTTGCCTACCTTTCATCTATAGAAGATATATCGTTCTTTCGGTTCTTGCTACCAAAAATCGACATGCCATCACGTAGATTAAGGATTGCACGGAGCTCGAACCCGATAGGATTAAATCAGAACACCCAAA